AAAGCCTCTAAAAACATTTTATTTAATAATTGTTATTTTTAATAGGCTATTGACCTTCCAGGCACCACTAACCTTAATCAAGGGAGAAAGGTAACTAACTGCCTTAAAGCTAGGGTAGGTATGGTGGGAATCTAGCAAGAGACATCTAGATTTTAAAAGTATCCAATGGAATTATATCCCACCACCTTATTGCCCTCCCTCTAAAGCCACTCTCCCAAAACACATCATTTCGGATCTAATGAAATGACTGGCCATGCTTATTACAGTGCTGCCACAGATTAGTTTTTTTTTATTTTAAGAAGTAAGAATGTAAGAATATTTGATTCATTTATTTATTTAAGAGAATTTCAACAAACAACAAAACATGCTTCAGAAATAAATTGCCTACCCCTGCCTTAATGTCACTTCACACCACTCCTGTTCATTTCATAGGGAAATATACTTTTTACTTCACTACATTTATTTAATAGGCCTAGTTAAAGTCACTTTGGCATGCAGAACATATGAGCAACTTGAAACATATGATGCATTGTTTTACATTAATCTACTGTATTTAACTGTATGCTTGAAATGTTCTTCTCCATGTCCAGCTAAAACATTCCAAGAACTTTAAAATTCACCTTGATGTATTAGTAACAACCCAATGATATTGGGAATGTAAAAACGAAACGGTATTTCTTCTTTTTTCCCTATTTTGCCTCAAACGAAAAAACAAACCATGAAATGTACACGGACCATTTTGCTTATAATAGGCTACTTGTGTAGCCTACTTTTATTTGAGTACAATTTTGAATGCAGGACTTTTACTTGCAATTGAGTATTCTGTGTTACATTTACTCAAGTAAAAAAAAGGAAGTGAAAGTTTCAGTACTTGTCTTAATGAAATAGTCAGCATTTCATAAATAACCAAAACCTCTTGTCTTACCTTGAATTGTGATATAAATCAACAACAGACGTACAAGGGGTGATCTGCTGCAGATTTTCATTGAGCACATCTACAGGGGTCAACAGAATTACAGAAATAACAATTATACAATGACTTTGCTGTGTTTCCTGCAGTGTTGAGACTTCCTATGGTTCATTCCTCCCTGCCTCCGCCAAGAAACCCCTGTAGCACACTGACCTCATGTGGTCAACTGATGATGATGTGCAGACATGCTCTTGTGTTGTGGAATAAAAGTAAGAGGTAATACCTGACAATCTATGATTCGTTCTACAATCACAGGTTTTAGGTGTCTGGTTACTAAAAGATAATCCAACACTTCCAACCAATCAGAACTGGGAATTCTCAGTGGCCATGGTATAATGAATACTAGAGTTTAAATGGAACAAACAAAAAAATCCTGTGAAATCCTGGCTGCTCAAAACCATAGTGTATGCAGTAACTGCGAAAATATATTAGAATATTTAAAATAGATCCATAAGTAGTAAAACTATATTTAATCCATCTTTATGTAGCATTAAGTAACAGTATGGTTGTTAAAGAAAGCCATGAAATAAATAAGTGAACATTCCCCATTGCTATAAAAATCTTCATAAAAAGTTTTAGGAAGCACCAAAAATGTCATTATTGATGACAAGCCTGAAAAATGATTAAGCAAAATAGGTTTTCTTGGATGATTTTGCAATAGGAATGTTTGTATGTCAGTGTTGCTTTGTTTAACCTGTCAATCCAATGAATTTATCCTTTTTTAATATTTTGTATAAGCATCATTTTGATGTTGGAGGAATAATGTTGTAACTACTGTATATTGTTTACTGTATGTGGTGTAAGTGCAAACATTGTTGATTGTATGTAATTTATTTAAATGTCCCATGAGGGATACAAATAAACAATATGCTGGCAAACATGTTGTTGTTCGACACTGAAGTGGCTCTATGTGTCTAAAATAAGGTGAAATTACAAATCTAATAATGGTTCCTTATTACTCATTTTCACAATGTACACTGAGGGAGGTGCAGACCAGTTTTGCTTGAACACATGTTCATTAAAATAAAACCAGTTACACAACTCTTTTCCAAACCCCAAATGTTTTCAGCTATCTTGCCTTAATCAGGGTGGTGTTTCCTTAACTCGCAATTATGGATGGGAGTTAATTTTGTTGAGCTTTCATAGAAAGGCCCCTGTGTAAGTGCACAGGAGGTTTGCCTTGACTGTCTGCATTTGGGAACTATCTCTCTGCCTTGCATTACCAGTCGTGAAAATGCTTGCTGTTTTGTCCTCAGGTTAGATTACTTCACAACAAAGCTCATGAATATGCATGGCTTATTCTCAGTAGTACTACTACATTGAAACGTGTCTTTGCTTTATGAGTGAACTGCATTTTTTCTTCTCTGTCTGAGTAATATGATGAACTACCTTCAAACGGCATTTGTCTTATCTCTCTTATCTACTTCCTGTCATAACCCTACAGTACAAAACAAACCAAGAAAAGAAGAGAAACCACGGATTTCACAAGATCTGTGAAAATGAAGAATTTTATTAAGCAACAAACAAAAAGTTTTGTTTTAAAGCAAATGTAGATAAAATGTACATAACTGTGCACTGTTGATTCTGTCCATCTCTCCACTTGTCTGCATGAGTTGATAAGCAACAAGCAACACCACTGACATATCTCAAATGTATTACTTTGATTGTTCCACGCACTGACTTTCAATATAAGGTACATGAGCGCTTTTTGTTTGTTTGCATTTCTACACAACAAAAAAAACTGCTTATCTTCTGACAACACAAAGTGAGCAGACAAAATCTCACACCCACAAAATCGCACTGTCAGGAAATGCTGCTCGCAGACACTTAAATCTCTGATGGTATTGTTCAGAGATGGTGTGCACTACTACAGCAACTTTGCAAACAAACCAACTATATTTTGTCACCTTTTCCACATATGGCATTATCAGACCGTAACATCTGCATACAGGATTCTGCCATTGACACTGAGCAAAGTTCAGACCCAAAGCAGACAAAATACAGGGCAGGATGTAATACTTAAACTATTACCAAATTGGAATACATAAAGTATGCAATTCTTGTTTTTGTTTTAAAGCTGCTGCACAGGTTTGTAAGTGTGAAGAAATAAGCAGGATTAGGAAAGAACAAGTAGGAATTTGAAACCACACAACATTATGTCCAATGTAGTTAAATCACAATAAAATTAGAATCTAGAAAGATAATTGTAATGCAAGTTTGGCATTATATTTAAAGTCCCAGAGGCCTTCAGCTCTTGCCATCACATGCTACCCAGGAGTTAGTTCCCTCTTGATTGTGTATTTTTACATTTTTCTTATTTTGTCTTCCTCCTTTGATGGCCAGCAAAGAAGGAACACAATTGTTGTGTGATCTACTCATAATGTTTAGTTATCTTGGCCACAGTCAAAACACAGCAGGTCATTGGAGCCAGATAATATTTTTGCCTAACACATCCGTAACTAGAACATTACATGAGAGAAATTGCCTGCAAAAACATTGGATTGCCAAGAAATATGGTACAGACACTCACAGTCCCCAGAGGATGAAGCCTGCTGGCCTTGGCGATCCTCTGACCTTTCCTCTAGGGCCACCATCAGCTTACACTTTTAGTTCTTTATATCTTGACAGCTATTTGATGGATTGCTGTGAAATTTGGAACAGGCATTAACGGCCCCCAGAAGATGTATTGGAAAAACTTTGATCTCCTGACATCAGGTCAAAATTTGTCCAACAGCTTGGTTTATGACCAAATACATGCAAATTGAATGACATTTCCATCAGCCTCAGCTGTACTTAGTGTTTAGGAGTAATTAAAAAATGTTCGTATGCTTATATGCCATCCGATGGTGAACATTATACCTGCTAAACATCAATGTGCTAGCAGTATCATTAAGCATGTTAGCATGCTGATGTGAGCATTTAGCTCAAGTGCAGACAGAGTGCAACTGTGAGCATGGCTGCAGACTGTAGTCTCTGTTAACTTGGTGATAAACATATTGCATTTCCTTTATGCTGTTTCACCTGCTATGAGGCTGTAGTGGAAACACATCATCACTGCTTGGCTTGAAACGTGCCCATGGAAAAAGGTTATATGAGAACATCAATAGATGGCCTGGAGCAGCCAGAAAGGTTAGGTTTTATTTTAGGAGCAGTTATGCAGTTAAGCAGTTAGAGTTATGATACCAAAATTATGGTAAATGCAACTTGCACACAGCAGCTGTTATTTCTTTTGTCATCAGCAAATATAAGAAAGACAGCTTCAACATCACCTTAGAATACATACATTTCATATCATTTGGGCTGCTGGTGCAAAACTACAACCTCTGAATATGTGACATCATCAGCACGAGCTGTCTCTGTGTGTTTGTCATTGAATGAAGGTGTGGCATCTCGGGATGATATGAGCTTGATGTCAGAGTAGACCACATCCTATAAGTAAGTGTGAGAGAAAGTGTCAAGGAGGAAACTTTGTTACTTTGCTCTCTTTTATCTCTTTTCCTTATCACAACAACAGCATAATTGAACTTAATTTGACTGAAACGTATTCAGCTGTAAGTCAGAAATTTAGCTTCAAACGAACTCTGAGCTCACCTCCTCAATAACAGGTGGCCTGGCCACATCAATCACTGAACCACCTGTATCTGAAAGACAGATACAGATAGATTTGGTCAAGGGAACTGAAAAAAGCAACAACAGATGCAACAAAAAATACATTCATGTGTAATACATTAGGTGTGTAGAAATAGAGTGAAGGGGAACTTGTGCTTTTGTTCTCACCAATGTGGACACGGTGTCTGACCGAAGAATGAAGTCTGAATAAGAAAAAACAACAAAGTTGCTGCAATTAGTTTAGTTTCTGCATGTAATAACCTGACCTGAACTGTATTTTCTTTCTAATCCTTGAAACCCTTTTGTATAAAGCATTTATACCGTCTTAAATAAGCCAAGAAAATGTTTTGAAGAATTTTACAAGTCTAACAATAAATATAAAACTACATGATGCAGAGTTATGCATACGCCTAAACAGCTCATGGTAGCTCACCATCTTAAAAAGTTGGTTGGTTGTTTCTGTAATTTGTGTACTGTATATATACAAATTAAAGACCAAAATAGAAAGAGGAACAAGATCCTCATTAGTCCAGCATATACAGTAATACTTTTAAATATAACAGCTGATATATTTGTCACATTTATGACATAAAAGTCTTGGTTATGGATTTTTTCTCTATAGCATCTACACTCCTACACAAAATACACATCAGACACTCAGACACACACACACACACACACACACACACACACACCTTCTGATGAAGATGAGGTAAGTTATGGTGGCCATGATCAATAACAGCAACATGACTGCAATCACTATTGCAGAAACCATCTTTGGTGATAACGGCATCTGTTCTGGGAGAAGAAACATTACTGTGATGAACTTTGTGTGTGTCTATTGTGAAAATGTTTTAAGTTAAGAGTCTTTACATTATCCCAGTCCGTTTATCATTGCTATTTCATTGGTATAGTTGGGAGATATTAGGAAATACACACACATAGCATAATCTTTCTTTTAAAAGTTGTATTAAATGATCCCACTTATTTACTAAGAGAATTAAAGCCATTTTATTCCCCACTGACAAGTAATTGACAGTATGTCAACTTCAAATGTAAAAAACCCCAACAAAATATTGTATTCGTGTGTGTAGGGGAGACTGGGGATGGTTGTAACATTTTTGACATTTCTGTTAGCATCTCTGAGATTTTTTAAACCAGTGCATTCAAAATGTGATACAAACTATATGTAAAGGCCTTTTCACACGGGAAGTGACAGCCCGCCTGCGTAGTCGCCTGGCCCCGCGGGGTCGCTCTGTGCTTCTCATGTGAAGACACCGAGACAGACGCTCTGCGAGTAAACGGAAGGCGCTCAATAGATAGTAACCACGGCAACGGCTTCTGTGCACTGTATTCCTTCATAGAAGTGAAACTATAGGCTAAGTAACGTTAGCTGATAGCTATATATAATATAGCTATATTATTCATATAGCTGATAAATCTATTGATTGATTGATTGATTTTTATTTAGAATGGACCATGTGCAATTAATAACATAAATGTAAACATTTGATGCATTACACCAGAGTTAGCCTTAGGCTAATTTACATCTGCAGTCCCTCATGTAAACGCCCTCCTTTTAAGGTCCTGTTAATATATTTCAGGGAAGTCACAGATGGAGAGGATCAGTCTCTCATGCTTCTTCATATTCTTTCCTAGTCTAGCTTAAAGTGAAACTAAGTGTTTGTGTGTGTGTGTGTGTGTGTGTGTGTGTGTGTGTGTGTAGAAATGATCCAAGTATCTTAGTTGCTGTCAGTCATAATAGTGACATAGTAGCAAACATAATAATACAATTTTTCAAAATGTACAAATGTGCACCACCTAAATATTATAATTTTAGTATGTGTGTATGTGCTTGTTAGTCTTGCATCATCACAGTGGTGACAGACATATGGCACTGAGTGCAGGCCTCATGGGCCCACAGGGAAGCCTACGGGTCTAACATTTGAACATAATAATAAAACAATTAAACATTACTATTTGTGAGTCAGACACATACTGAAATACAAAATGAAAACATAAATACAACTAAATATTTTCTTTGGGTAGGTTGAAACAATTACATTGTTGTTACAACTAACCCAAACTCTTGTAGCCATGAACTAGCTTACCTTACAGTTTACAGCTAAAACCTTAGCACTAACAGCTTGCATTAAAGATATATACATGGACACACAATAAACATGATTTAAGACAAAACATGCAATGCTATAACAAATTCTTGTGTTTTTTTGTTTTTTTTTCTCCCCCTCTTCAAAATGTAGTTACTTTTCCCCATGTGGAATAAGGTGATTTGTAACTTCCTGATTGGAGAAATTAGATGTGTTACAACTGACCTGTGTTACAACCACTCCCGGTCTCCCCTATGTTTTGTTTGTGTAAAAATGCTTTTCTTACTCACTTTGAACAACAAGGTTGGTGTTTCCTTCAAATGAACCACTAGGAAAGGCTGCAATGTTGCAGGTGTATGACCCTGCATCTCTCATTTCCACTTGTCTAATTATCAAGGATTGTTCTTTAATGTCCACTCTCTCCTTCAGAAATGTATTTTGAGCAGCAACTCCATAGTTCCCATTAGAAACAATAATGTTCAGTTTCTCTCCTTGTGGTGGATTCAGATCCCACTGAACCTGAGTAACATTTTCGCCTTTTGATCCTGGGATAAAGTGGCATGGCAGGGTGACATCCTGCCCGAGGTATCCAGTCACTTCAGGCCAGACTTTGACTTTTTGTGCCTCAAGAACTGCCAAGAAAATAATGCGATGTGATGATTTGGTGGCAGAAGTAATGTTGAACTCTGACTACACTGTTTACACTCTGATTGACTTTGTTTCTATTAGTAATTACTCAACTGACCTTTTTTCAGACAGAGTAAGGCACGTTACATACTAATCTTTCTACATCTCTGAATATTTACTGTAATAAAGCTATGCATGTATTATTATAGAACTTGGCTATAAAATTTGTTTGTAAAAAGAGGAAGTTTCACAACTGAGTCTCAAAAACATTTCATGTCATGTCATTTTAAATGAGATAAAATAAATATTAGCCTAAACTAAATTATATGTTCCACACACAGAAGCCTTCATACAGTATATACAGTGGGTACGGAAAGTATTCAGACCCCTTTAAATTTTTCACTCTCACCTTTGTTTCTCAGCCATGAGTCGTTTTGGGAAAGATGCAACAAGTTTTTCACATCTGGATTTCTGTATCCTCTGCCATTCCTCCTTGCAGATCCTCTCCAGTTCTGTCAGGTTGGATGGTAAACATTGGGGCGGCTGTGGCTCAGGAGGTAGAGCGGGTTGGCTGTTAATCGGAAGGTCGGCGGTTCGATCCCTGGTTGCGTGTCGAAGTGATACTGAACCCCGATTTGAACCCCATCTTGTTGGAAGGTAAACCTTCGGCCCAGTCTGAGGTCCAGAGCACTCTGGTATAGGTATTCGTCCAGGATATCCCTGTACTTGGCCGCATTCATCTTTCCCTCGATTGCAACCAGTCGTCCTGTCCCTGCAGCTGAAAAACACCCCCACAGCATGATGCTGCCACCACGCTTCACTGTTGAGACTGTATTGGACAGGTGATGAGCAGTGCCTGGTTTTCTCCACACATACCGCTTAGAAATAAGGCCAAAAAGTTCTATCTTGGTCTCATCAGACCAAAGGATCTTATTTATCACCATCTTGGAGTCCTTCAGGTGTTTTTTAGCAAACTCCATGCGGGCTTTCATGTGTCTTGCACTGAGAAGAGGCTTCCGTCGGGCCACTCTGCCATAAAGCCCCGACTGGTGGATTGCTGCAGTGATGGTTGACTTACTACAACTTTCTCCCATCTCCCGACTGCATCTCTGGAGCTCAGCCACAGTAACCTTTGGGTTCTTCTTTACCTCTCTCACCAAGGCTCTTCTCCCCCGATAGCTCAGTTTGGCCGGACGGCCAGCTCTAGGAAGGGTTCTGGTCGTCCCAAAATTCTTCCATTTGAGGATTATGGAGGCCTCTGTGCTCTTAGGAACCTTAAGTGCAGCAGAAATTTTTTTTGTAACCTTGGCCAGATCTGTGCCTTGCCACAATTCTGTCTCTGAGCTCTTCAGGCAGTTCCTTTGACCTCATGATTCTCATTTGCTCTGACATGCACTGTGAGCTGTAAGGTCTTATATAGACAGGTGTGTGGCTTTCCTAATCAAGTCCAATCAGTATAATCAAACACAGCTGGACTCAAATGAAGGTGTAGAACCATCTCAAGGATGATCAGAAGAAATAGACAGCACCTGAGTTAAATATGAGTGTCACGGCAAAGGGTCTGAATACTTATGATCATGTAATATTTCAGTTTTTCTTTTTTAATAAATTTGCAAATATTTCTACATTTCTGTTTTTTTCTGTCAAGATGGGGTGCTGAGTGTACATTACTGAGAAATAAAATGAACTTTTTTGATTTTTGGAAAATGGCTGCAATGAAACAAAGAGTGAAAAATTCAAAGGGGTCTGAATACTTTCCGTACCCACTGTAAGATGCAATGTAATCAGCCTTTAAAAAAGTTTAAAGTTTAAAACATTTTGTCTTACCTGGGAGTAATGTGATGTACATCAACTCCAGCAGTATGATAGGTGATTTGCTGCAAGTTTTCATTGTGCACAACTACAGGCTGTGGAATAAATAACAGAAACCCCTTTGAATACAACACAGTCCTGCTGTGTGTATATGTTAAAATAGCATGTCATGCACTGGTAGAAGAAGTACTCAGATATAAGTAAAAATAGTAATCCTACAGTGCAGAGGTACTCTCTGTTACAAGGGAAAGTAAATGTACAAAAATTAGCATAAAAATATACTTAAAGTAGCCTACCAAAGTTATTATTCAGAATGCCGATTTCAAAATAATACATATAGCCTACTAGTGTAATTAATTAAAAAGTGCATTAATGTGTTCATTACATCAATGTTGCAGCTAGTAAATGTGGAGCTCGTTTTAACTATATATGTATATAGTAGTGGACAATTTCATAAAAATACATAATTATTAGTTGATTATATTTTGTATTATACTAAGTAATTATTAACTAAAGCTGTCAGCCTATGTAAATGTAGTGGGGTACAGGTAAGCCAACATAAACCTCAAAAAATACAGTGCTCACTGATCTCATGTGCCAGCTTTTGAACAAGCAGCTTTCAAGTCAACATTCATTGTTTCAAAGAGACAGAGGCAAAGAGACAAAGAGGAACAACACAACGCTGCAAAACCAGGGCTTGAATAATTATCGAGAAGACTCAGATACTAAATAGCCTAAAAGTCGTAGCCCACTGTAAGGTATAGGCTATACAATATTTTGTCCACTCCCTGCTTCAAGCTTCAAGTTTAAGTAAACTTCCAAATCTTTTGTGTAACAAAACAAGTGAAATGGTCTTAGTACCCTAATTAAAATAACTTACCCATGAAAGAGAAGAGGATCCGGTCACTACTGCGGCAGGAAACAATTCATCAGCTCTCTCCACTTTTACCAGGGATAAAAACTACATGACAACTCTTACAGGCGGCTCGTTTCTAGCTCGCGTTCAAGTCTGCAATTTCCAAGTCAAAATGAGCATGATTTCCTATCCTTTGCTTATTCCCCACCGCCACCCAAAAGATACAGACCAGTAGAACAGTGACCTCGTGCGACAAATGATGATACTGACGTCAAAAAAACCCTAACGTGATGTTGAATTTATTTATTTATTTATTTGAGAAACTAGCTTACTACTGGAAATGGCCATTACCATACAGGAAATACTGAATTACGGTTTGTGAATTTAGAGCTGTATCAATATCAGACATTCTCTGATTCTTTCAGTTGCAATACCACAACAGGATGTAGTAAAAGTCAATATCACAGCAAAATAATTATATAAAGTTATGTTGCTTTTGGGTCCGTGTGCATGGCCACCTTGTGCTACCAGCCAAAAAACAAATATCACGTTTTATTTGTGATGGCAAATTAAAGCACACAAATATGACTTGTTTTATTGTCGTGGTGCAATTCAAATTTTCCTTACTTACATATATGATCAGCTATGATTATCAATACTGTTTGGGAACTGTTTGGCTGTTACATACAGTTACATAATCCGCCACCAATTTGATATAAAACATATTAATGTCTTAGGTGATGCCTAATGTCCTCTTTATTTATGTGTAAAAATAATCATTATGCATCCCTAGGTTTTAGTTGCCGTGCATACATGCTGTGGTCCTGCATGCCTATCAGAGTTACTTCTTACTATGTGTCAGAATCTGATTCATGTACACCTGCATTCAGACCATTGCAGCATCAGTGGTAGATAGCAGCTGGAAAGGAGTCCACAAATGATATCATGTCAGGTCAATCTCAAAGAATATGAAAAATTTAACATTCTGAATAATGACTTTCTAATCAATGGATAGAAAGGGCACAATCTAAAGACTAAAGCAGAAAACTGTCTGAATAGATTTTTACCACCACATGTGCTCAGTCTGTTAATTAATTAAGATACAGCTCATCTTCCTCAACAGTTTTAGTTAATATGCTGGATGATAACAGTGTGAAGAAACAAAAGAGCACAAAGCAGTGTGTTCATTTCATGGCCTCACACCAGTGACCTTGTGTCAAGCCTCATGAAGGAAGCTGCATCTTATAAAAGTGATGTATAATTATCTCCTCCAATCAGAGCCCCAGGTGCTCAACAGGCTAATCGGGTCAGGTATGCAAAGCTTTGCCTGTTTCAGTTTGTTGAACTCAGCTTGTTGCCAGCATGTAAATTACTGATTTACAGGGCAAGACAGGAATAACAACTGCATCAGGCACAGCTCTGCATCCTGAGTTACATTGGTCAAAGCATGCGTTCTTACTGGAGAAGGTGGTGCATTGAACATTGTGAATGTGTGGGTAGAGTAGGCTAGAAATAGCTAGAAATGAAACAAATACAGTTATGTTTCATCTCAGTGCTTTTCGTAAAGAACACTGAAAAGGAGGGTTTACGTTTATATACTGTATAAAGCCGGAATCTGTTATTATTCTGACAGTATAACTTCTACTTTCAGTCATATTTGTGTTCTTCAGCTCTGTCTTCATGTTGTTTTCCTGGTGGGTGTTACAATAGAAGTGTCAAATTCACTCAGTGAAATGGCTTCTGTGCTGCTGCAAGTGTCATGGTCAACACTGGTGGAATGTAACTAAGTACATTTACATAAATACTGGACTTACTTTAAGTACAATTTCGAGGTACTTTAGTTCATTATTACCAAATTATACAACTTAAGTTAGCTCTACTCTACATTTCAGAGGGCAAGAATATGCTTTTTCCTATATATTTATCTGACTGATATCATTACTGGTTACTTTTCAGATTCACATATATACATACATACTATGCATGCACACACACACACACACATACTCGTGCACTTTTTCCTTCACTGGTGGTCAATGTAATACTTCATCCCACAGCTTCCTTCGAGCACATGAGTGTAGGCTGCATTTAAGTTAAAATGAAAACACACAGAGTCTGTAGCCACAATAATTCTGTTAAACAGACAGTAAAACTTCAAATAAAAGCTAAGTCCCGTTTAGATGCCTGTCCCTTTTACTGGCCTGGTGTGGCCACGCGTTTTGACAAATAAAGGCAAGTCTCAATGAGACGCCTGGTCTGGTTTTCTCGATTTATAAAACCCCTTAAAGCTCACTGGGTCACCAGCTTGAGTTAGTGCATACATATGTAAATACTTAAACTTTCGACAATATGGACTTGTTACACATCGTTAGATTGGTTAGATTTTCCACAATTCAGTCGTGTTAGTGAGCAAAAAGTATTATTCATTCATATTTAGCAGCAGCATTATATGGTAAACAAGAGAGATGAGGAAAAAAGAGATGACTCCTGACCTCTGAAGTGGCCATAAAGTCAGAATGTGTGTCCATTCCTCGATTATTTGTAATTCTTCAGTCCATAAGACCACCGATCAAAAGAATTACACCGGTGTTTTCATAAAGTTAATCCAAGTTGAAATAACTATGGTAACCTTTGGCTTTCATCCCAGAAGGTCTCTCTGTCTTTTAATTTTATAGCAGCAATATTTATAATGGGTGAAAAAAATAATGGGTGAAAAAAACAATTTGATTGTTTGTTTCATTCGCATCTTTGCTGAGCTACAGTTTTGTGGGAAAGAAATTAAAGGTCTGTCTCATATAGACGCCTGTCCCGAATATAGGCTGGGTGAGTTCAGTGATTAAAGCAAATAAAAGCCTGGGGTATTACTTGAAGTTTTTCAGTACTGCAGAATTCCATTAACAGGTGGTAGAATATTTAATTTAAATATTTTAATTTATTTCACGCTGTATGTTGTAAATGTAGACATTCATTTATTCATCATTTATTACTGAGCAAATTGTGCATTTATTAATAGATAATTTTGAATAATATAAGATGCACATATCCCAGAAAAAATATAAATGACAGGAAACAATCATGCATTATCACAGGGATAATAAAAATATAAACATAAAACAAGTGTTCCTCGTGATCTGGCCATCAGCTTCTTCTCAAAAATGCCTTTCACATCGACAGCGAAGGAAGTTTCTTTTTACAATAATCATGTCTTTAGCTTTAAAACAAGTGATTCATTCTGTATTCTTATTGTTTTCAAACTGATTTCCAAAAGTCTATTGAATTAACAGGTGAGATCATTGTTTTTCCAATATGAGCGTCAGCATCAGAGTCTCTCGAATCAAAACATTTATGGCTGTAGCATACTCTGGTTGATTTTAATCTGGGTCCTTTTTCAAGGAAGAATCTGAGAAAAAATAAAAAGCAATGTTAATGAACATGACAATGAGACAGAACAAATCGTAATAATAGGAACTTAAATATGACCAGTAATTCAGATATATAATAAAATACTAATCTCACCTGTCATATGTCACCCGCCACATCCTCCTCACATTAACGCTCTCAGAGTCAGCGCACTGATTGGAGACACTAAAAACGACCAGCAGGGAGCAGTGCAGGACGCTTCATGTAGCAAAAAAGACTGTTATCACCCCTTGAAATTCCTTCTATTGACAAATAAATTGATGCATCACGTTCCTATCTCGTGCAAAAAAGTGAAATCTCACCTCTCAGATTTAGAACTGTGGTGTTTTCCAGCATGGTCACCATATTTCTGGCAGTGCAGGTGTAATTCCCTGTGTTTTCTGCCCCAAACCTCTCTATAATGTACATGGAGTTATTAACACGCTTCTCATTGCTGTTGAACATCCAGCTGAAGTTTGCTGGTGGGACAGAGGCTGCTGTGCACTGCAGTGTCACTCTCTGGCCAGGTGCTGCTGCTGCTAGTCCAGTAATTGATATGTTATGTGGTCCAACTGCACAGAAAATACACACACACACACACACACACACACACACACACACACACACACACACACACACACACACACACACACCATGTTACGGCTATAGAGTTCAGACCTGTACCTAAATGCCTTTAATATCTGCAAAGAGTCAGGAGCTAATTTCTGAAGATTTCAACAAATACATACAGTTTGTCCATACTCTTTAGTCCATAGTGACAGGTCTACAGTGAGCAGTACTCACAGTTGATGGAGAGATTATAGGCCACAGTCATGGTGCTGACTGGGTTGCTGACTTGACACTGGTAGGTGCCATGGTTGGAGCTGTGAACAGGTTGTATGAACACTGTCCTGTTGTCCATGGAGAAGCTGACTCTGCCTCCTGAATGGAGAGACAGGCCGTCCTTTATCCACAGAATGGTGCTGATGGAGCCGGAGGCCTCGCAGCTGAGGTTTGTGGAGCTTTTATCTTCTATTAAGATGGCTGCGGGGCTGCGGATGGTGGCTCCAGTTATCAGCACTGGCAGAACACAATAAGTGACAGTCCGATACAAATGGTTCAAAACACAACAAATTCAATGTAAATGCATTTTGGTGCTGGTCAAATTAGATTTGAAGTTGGCAAAAAAAAAAAAACTCCAATGTCCCTTTAAGTAGATTTATTTATTTATATTTGTTACTATTTATTTTTGTGACTTCACAAGTCATGTCACAGCTGGAAAGGCTGTTTCAAAGTGTCACTGTAACTATTAATGATTTGAAGACACCACAAAGATTGTGTTGGAAATGTTCAATATATTGTGATGTGATATTGGTTCTAGCTAATATTTTGCTTTTTGTGTAAATTCTTATTTAGTCTCAACCGTACTAAACTGCATTTTACTACACATATTGTTTGTGTATGTGTCCAAAAACCACAAAAAACCACAACATAATATTGATTCCTGGCAGGAATTTTAGTTTAGTGTCTATAAACATACAGAGAAATTAAGATTTCTGTACTAAGATAGTGTATATCCATTAATTTAATTTAATATCATTTATTTAATCTGCCTGAATTTATATCAGTACACAGTCCTTTGAAGACAGTAATTTTAGAAGAATTGTTACCCTTATTTCAAATGACAGGTGATTAACATTCCACCCACCGTACACATTCAGTGTGATTTTCCCCTGTTGCTGCAGCCCTCTGTCTGCTATGACAGTGACAGTGTACTCCCCACTGTCCTCCAGCACCAGGTTCCTGAGCTCCAGGGCCCCTGTGGCTCGGTCTAGTGAGATTCTGCTGTCATATCCGGGCCCGGTGACGTTGATGCTGGTGGAGGTGATGATGTTACTCCCGTTGAATCTCCAGCTGACTGAGAGGAATGGACTCTCAGGAGGTATGAGGGTGGTGGTGAACTTCACTGTGCCTGCCACAGCTCCGCTCAGGGGTCCCAGGGGTAAGATACCCTCACCGGCACACATACCTAATTACCCAAAACAGAAAATAGCAACATGGTTATACTTTTGAAAGTGCTGTAAGCCAAGTGTGACTTTAATGTAAAACATAAAAAAAATCAATCAATTTTGGTTATTAATACAATTAAACAAAATTCATAATGTAACTTGTAAAATTACACAATCCTTTATTTATGTAATATAATATTTTTATATTTAATCTACCTGATAAAACAAGCACCAGACAAGCAGCAGTCCTGAGCATCTTGTTGTCCATGCTGAATAATGACTAATGTAACGTTGTCTTACAGTCTTCTCTTCAATGAAAGTCATGGGTGCTCCTGCTCTTTTATCATCTCACACCCACAGCACAGGACCATCTCCAGCCCCCAGACTCAGTAACAAAAAAGCACAAACACTGTTTACGATGCCACTGTGTACATACTGTACACCAGAGGAGTTACCAAGACTCAGGTTGATGGACTGTAGAAATGTCAATTTAAGGAACATTTCTTTGTCCTACTTTTGCTTTAATTCTGTGTCAGAAAACTTGTAATAAATAAAGACTCAACAGCCATTACATAGATACATTACATAACAGCTTAACATCTTTGTAAGTTATAGAAATATAAATATTTCTAAATACACCCCCCCGACACACACACACAAAAAATGCCTAAATTTAAACATGATTAATAATAAGAAAACAATCCTTGCTCAAAACACAGACATTCATTCAAGTTTAAGATGAACCATTGATTAAACACATTCTCAGGAGGTTAAATAAGCTTCAGTTAGCTGAAGATTCTTCAATTGGTAGATCATTAACATTCAACCAGGTTAAGAAAAGTAACTCAATTTAACATGAATGCAAATGTAAGAGGCTGTATTGTGTGCATATGAGCATGTGTAGTCTGAGTCATGGGAGGTGTATTGTGCATCAGTTTTATGAGCTCTTCAGTGAGTGTTTCTGGGATCGTGTTTGACAAGCAGCAGTGAGCATTCCTTGAGAAGGAGGATCAAAGACACATCAGAGACATCCTTCAGACAACTTTACAAATATGTCTCTGGGATCAATGTCTGAATATTAAATTGATAAAAGGTAGACATTTCATGTAGTGTCTCTAAATGTTTATGTTTAATATTGCTATTTTTTAAACCCTTGATCTAGAATACATCACAGTTTGTCAAAAAACTGCAAGGCAACCATTAAATAAACTGACACAATGAGGTATTCACATGTATCTATAATTTCTGACGTGAATACAGTACCGGAGTTGAAACATTGTCAAAGATATGTCATTGACAGTTACGAAGTAACAAGTGGCACTTGCAGTGTAAATATACTGTTACCCAACCTCTGTTTTCACACTGTATACTGGGAGTGATGGAGTTAATTAGGTGCTGAGTGATTGATTAGAGAAGTGATTATGTATAGATAGACAATATATAAAATGATAAACAGCAAAGTTGTAAAAAAGATAAACTGTTTAACATCAAAAACTGCATCTCTATTTTGGCTTGTTACCCCATAAATTAAGTTTATTTTTGTGATCCCCAGGTTGTCAGCAGTTCAACCAAAGGTTTGATATTTTCCTGTCTTGTCTTGCTTGATTAGAATATTTTTTAGAGGACTAAAAATGTGCTTCAGGTTTTCCATTTATTTATTTGTAAATAGAACTGATTTGTCTGACTGCCGCTAGGTGAATGGGCCTGTTTTATGTGATACAACATAAAGAGTCATGCTACATCTCTGTACTTTTTTATGAGTTCTTTCACTGTTTGTAAATACGTCACAGTACATTAACTTTTTTTTTTTTTTTACGTGTGTTTCTTATGTATTTCCTTTTCTGCAAATTCTATGTGTCTCTGTTTTTTTCTGTAAAGTGTACTGGGACCACACAGCTGGTAATTTTTCTTTTCTTTTCTTTTTTTTTTTTACACTTTAATAAATTTTTAACTTAAACTGTTAAACCAATTTACCATCTAAACCAACACCTTTTGTCAATATAATAAACTTCCCTTCACTTCAGTGGTGTCAGTGTTCTGTTTTTAAAAGCAGTTCTGCTGAAAGAATTACAATTTTAATTTGTTTATTTATGAACTGTACAGATCAGCTCTGGTTTCTGGGTAAATATAGTGCCACATTGTTTTGTAAAGAAAATTAAATTTTTCAAAGACAAACTTTTTCTTACCATTCAGTTCTCATACCATTCTTGTATATTTAATTGGTTTAACATTTACGTATTTTGCTGAAATTATACTTCTTTTTATGTGATGTTTTACATTACATTTACCTGTTGCTTTTATCCAAAGTGACTTACAAGTGCTATATATGTCAGAGGCTAAAAGTAATACTTTTGTATTCTTCTTTAGTTAAGTAAAAGGCTTAACTTTGTGATTCCAGAACAAGAAAATAATAATTTAGCAGAGAATGTGAGTTGTGTCATGTGTTTGATTTTGATAACAGGATAAAAGCTATTTTAAAATGCTCAACTATTTTTTAAAACTAGGTTGACCTGTGATCTCTGAGTGCAGCTACTGCCAAGTCTTATCTGTTAGTTGTTAAAAAAGTTAATATTTTACAGCTGAGAAAGGCCACTGTCTTGCATCTCATAAAATCCTCAACATTTACATAATTATATCACCAATGTGAACCAAATCAGAAAACACAGTGTTAATATGCCACAACTATGAATAGTGAAAAGCACCAATGTGGCATTGAACAGACTTTACTTGACGTCTAGCCTCATTGTGCTTGCTTCATTTCACGTCTTGAGCTCTGAAGAAATGAAAATGACATGCACATGAAAAAATGTAACAAAACAAATGTATAGTAAATGACTGAAAAGCATCTCCACAACATAGCGAATGCTTCACAGCGGGAGGTAGTTTTGACTGAGAGCACATGGGACCAGGGGCCCCAAAAGCTGCAGATCTTGCATTATTGCATAATCTTGTGACCCTGTCTTATAGATGGGCCATGTGTAAAAATCTTGTTCAGACATGGTGCAATTCCCTCTATGAACTTTATAAACGTCTTTCAAACTGACTTAAAGAAACCCTGGGGCCAGGTAGCTCTAGCATTAAATGTGCTGGTTGGTGTAGGTCCCTCTGTAATGTGCTGCGTACTTTATGGGAACTTGGAGGCAACAGAAGGCCAACAGTTTATTCTGCACATGGTCACCAGTTTCAATGGGTCAGACCTACTGCCTCATGCACATCTGTTTGGTTTCTACTGAACAGAAAACTGAATGTAGCAGCTGGTACAACCGCAACATCGTATCAGCACTTAGTCTGCTTTAAAGTACAGGGAGGTACTTAAAAAAAAATATTAATATGTAATTGTTGCAATTACATTTTTGTGAGCTGTTTTAAGTTAACCTCTGAAGACTCAAAGACTTCCCTTTCTTCACTTACTTTGGTAAATGTTATTTTAAAAGCTGTGCATGTTATTGTTTATGTAAAGCTAACATTGTTTCTATATTTTCTCCTCAATTGTTTTATTAGTTGTCATGATAAATTTGGAGCGAGGACTTCAATAAACCAGTAGCAAGAAAACCACTTGTGTCTGCCTCTGCTTAGAGGGAATTACATATTTTTTTAGTACACCTGTGTATATCCTCTTTGGACAAAATACTTTTTTTTAACAAATTCACTGAAATGAGCCAGCCCGACTCAAATTGTGAACTTCCTATGTCCTTGGCCTTGCTTGCCCAAATCTTGTAGATTAATGATTTATATGTGTAAGAATAATGGTCTAATAACAATAAAGATAATAAGAACTCACCTTACAACAGACCGGAGTATCTACTAAAAACGCCTCCATGACTTCCTTTGTTTTGTACCAGACCAGCATGATACACATCTGTTTCACATCATGCCAACAAAGTACATTTATTTCTACACAATAGGTGTCGTAAAATATTTATTATAGACATAAATTATGAACTCAAGAACACAATAGAGTCAAGTAATAATAATTAACAAGGGAGATGGTGTGATGATTTTCCATCTGAATCTACATGAAGCAATGGAAGCTTTTTAAACATTCATCAGTATTCAGGATGAATCCATAAACTTTCAATGAATATTTTAGACATGGTACAGTAGATTATGTCACACTGTATGCATATACAAAGAAGATAAACAAGATATTACTCACTCCTTTAATTTAATTTAATAAAAAACATTTTATAATAGTTGCTCTTCAAGGTTGCTTTTCAAGGCCTTTTGAGAAGTAGAATACTATGGGACTGTAACACAATACCTGAGCAGACCGGGCAGTTTAGTTTCTTTATCAAGAGCCTTTTCCAATCAACACTTGGCATGATACAGAGGAAAAGGACAGGTCACCAGTTAACCAATTGATAATATGTTGCCAAATTAGTCACCAACTCATGTGACATGTAAACATGAACCCTTTTTGCTAGATCAGTGCCACTGAAATTTGAAAGTTAAAGTATTATATAGTTTGACAGCAACTGATTAAAAAAGCATTAAGAGTGTAAAAATTGAGGTTTGGGGTCCCATGCTGGAGGTGCTGTCCCTGCGAGCCAACCCCGCAGGGCTGGATTGGTAATCTGGCATACCGGGCAAATGCCTGGTGGGCTATGTAACTGAATTATTTATTTGTAATGTTTTTTTAAAAATGGGCCAACAACCGCCCATAAAGCACGGACAGCGGCCCATTGGGTGATTTTCTATACATACCCCCCAAATAAATCTTCAGATGGAGGCCGCCAAATGCGCGAAAATAACCTATATATTTGTTACCGTGGCTGCAGTAGCTTCAACATCAGCTGCAGTACCCTGCGTAGAGCAGGCACAAGCACTTGAAGGAGTAAAGGAGAGCTGTGGCCGCTGACAGGCAGAGGAGGAGGCTGTATTAGCGAGTGACTGAGTGAGAGAGAGAGCAGGAGGAGAGAGGAGGTGAAGCGGTAAGCATGAGTAGCTCAACCTATAGGGAAAGAGCAGGGAGGGAGGGTGAAAAGATCACTTAAATTTTACAGTCACTTAAAATCAGT